GAGATTTTGGTATCTGTGAGGAGTCCTGGAACCAGTCCTCTGAGGATACCAAGGAAAGACTATATATCTGGAGGAAGAGTAAGAAGATCGTTGGGCAGTCAAGATTTTGGAGTCAGAAAGTTCTGAGTGGGAATGAATCACAGTTCTGCCATTGCTACTTTCCAGTGTGTAATCTTGTGCAACTGTGTACAGTGCTTAAGATGTATGTTAAGGGCTGAATTGTCTCTCTTCCCCTCCCCACAAGTATGCTGAAGTACTAATCCTCAGTACCTCAGAATGTGACCTTGTTTTGAAATAGGGTCATTGCAGATATAATTAGTTAAGATGAGGTCATCCTGGAGTAGGGTGGGCCCCAATCCAGTATGACTGGTGTCCTTATAAGAGGACAGCCATGTTAAGACAGACACACAGAGAGAATGCCATGTGATGATGAAGGCAGAGATTGCCAGCAACAAACCAGAAGCCAGGAAAAGGCAAGCTCAGAGGGCCTGTGGCCCTGCCGACACCTTGATTTTGGACTTAGAGCCTTCAGAATTATGGAACAATAAATTTCTGTTTTAAGACACCCAAGTTATTGTACCCCTAGGAAACTGAAATCATGGTTTTCTTCTTGATATAGTGGGGAGCATATTATTTAGGAGTGATTGAGAGTAATTAGTTAAATAAGATAATATAATTTAAGGCAATTTTAAAGAAGTATGGTAATAATCAGTAAATGAGAGCTGCTATTACTGGTATTTTTATCACCATTCTAGTTATCATTTTCCTCCATACTCTTTTTTTTTTTTTTATTTCAGCATATTATGGGGGTACAGATGTTTAGGTTACGTATGTTGCCCTTGCCCACCACTCCCAAGTCCGAGCTTCAAGCGTGTCCATCCCCCAGATGGTGTGTATTGCACTCTGCGTGTGTGCATATACCTGTCACACTCTTTCTCAGTGTGATATAGACTTGTCATATTGGATTATGTGTTGTTTCCGTTGTTGTAGGCCGAATATAAAAAAGCTGTTACTACGAATCAGTGGCACCGAAGATTAGAGTTTCCAAGTGGAGAGACAATTGTTATGCACAATCCAAAGGTAATGATACTGTTTAAGATATTGAAGTGTTAGGTTCACTTAATAATTATTTTGCTGTATGTGTTTGATTAATGTTCATTTTTAGTAACTTCTACAGTAGGGATATATTTATAACAAGTGTGTTGCTTTTAGAATAGTTTACTATAGTTCACATTGATCATGGAAACAAAAACACAGTTTAACTTCTCATGGAGTTTCTCTGTATGGTCATATGTTAACTGAAGTTTATTATGCACTGTAGAAGTTACTTGATACATTTTTTCATTTGATCACAGTTGGCCAACTTTTAAAGGGACAGAGAGTAAATATTTTAGGTTTTGCGGGCCGTTTGTTCTCTGGTGCAGCTACCATCTCTGCCATTCTAATGTGAATGCAGCCAAAGATAATAGGTAAAGTAATGAGTGTGATATTTTCAATACAACTTTATTTACAAAAACATGTGGTAGGCCAGATTTGTCCTGTAGGCCATAGTTTGCCTACCTGCACTTGATGATGGTTTGCTTTAATCTTTCAAGTAAAAATATGTCCTTTTTCTTTGTATCGTCTCTATGAACTTGTCTTGTTTTTTTTAAAAATATTGATTGGTAGTAGTGTTCTGATTCTTCGATTTACCATCCTTAATTTCTCTGAGCTCCAGATTCCACACCTGCAATAATATTTACCTTCCAGGGTCATATTTTTGCCTACCTGCACTTGATGATAGTTTGCTTTAATCTTTCAAGTAAAAATATGTCCTTTTTCTTTGTATTGTCTCTATGAACTTGTCTTGTTTTTTTTAAAAATATTGATTGGTAGTAGTGTTCTGATTCTTTGATTTACCATCCTTAATTTCTCTGAGCTCCAGATTCCACACCTGCAATAATATTTACCTTCCAGGGTCATATTTTTGATTAAGTAAGGTAATTTATGCAAAAGTATCTGTCACAGGGCTTGGCACACAGTAGTTTCTGAGAAGTAGGCATTTTATTTATTGATTTTTTTACATGAAAGTATAAAAGAAAACAAAAATTCAGTCTAACCACTTCTATAGTTCTTATTGATACTGAAATAAATAAATAAAAACATTCATATGCCAATGAAGTTTAA